CAGCATGAACCCACAGTCTCTTCAGTCAGACAAAATTGGTCATTCGTTTCAATTTTTTGGGAAAGTGCGCAGTGCGCAAATTGACTGCTCCTTTACAGTAAATCCTGTGAAACCTGAGACGTCCTACCAGTCTGAAAGAAATGCTACCAAAGTAAAACTTAGAATGGTTCATTTAAATGAAATCTTTCTTGTTGAGGATATTTTTCTGCTACTGAATCGCTTGATATACTATACAATAAACTCCCAATAACTCAACCCTGGCTTAACTTGTCACTAACACTTAAGTCATCATATCCCAGCCGTATTTATTTATGAATTCATACATATGCCTAACTCATCACTCTGGATAATTTATCAATGACCCTCTTTTTCCTTTGGAATGATGAGTTATCAGGAGTTTACTGCAGATATGGAATGGCTTGCCAAGTAAAGTGGCAGACACAGAATCCATTGTGGGAATTTCAAGAGAGAAGTAAACAGGTATAATAATAATAATCCTTGCTTTTGATACAGCACCTTATCACGTCTTTAAGACGTCTCAAAGTGCTTCACAGAATATACTGTAAAGTGAATTGACTGTATGAAGGGTAGAGGTAAGAGGCAAACCAGTGGGATTCAACGTGTACCGTGCTCTGAGAGCTGGTGCAGATTTGATGAGCCAAATGGCCTCCTTCTGTGCTGTCAATTTCTATGATTCTACTTCTCTTTGCAGTTAATCGATGGCAACTTAACATAATTGTGACTAATCATAACTCTGCCTTAATCATTTGTATAATCATTTGCATTAAACTAGTACATCGTGCGCCCAACATTCTTGGGTTCATTAATTTCACACGACAATGCAGACATGTGTGAACAGCACAGGGATGTTGGGAAATAGTGCAAGGAAATGTATATAATTTCCAAGAAAACGTGCGTGTGCTAATTTGAACAAAGAGTAGTGTATGAGCCATTGCTTTGCCCTGTATAGATTTTTCTAGTAGCACAGTACATTCATTCTCCTCTCAGAGAAGTCGGGTTCATTTTAATTTACAAAGCACATAATGTCCCATCATCTTGGCGCTCTACATGCCTCTCCTTATCTTCCATTACATTACTTTAAAATGAGCAGTTTCTTTTGCCTCTCCTGCAACCATAATCAGCATTAATGCAGCACTTGACCAGTGGCTCAATACCAGTGACTCAGTCGCTAACATGGAGAAATTCCTGATGGTAATTTGCATCACAGCAAGCTTGTGAGAACCTGCTATCTACTGCCTAAAGGCTGTTTGGTCCAAGATAACTTTGTCAGTTATCACCTGCAGTGCTCACTATTTATAATAATCCTCGCATTTGATATTTGATATCTTATCACGTCAATCCTGTGAAGCACTTTGAGACGTCTTGATGATGTGACAAGGTGCTATATCAAATGCAAGGAATATTATTATTTTATTTTATTCAATTTCATTCCCGCACTCCAAGGCAGAATCGTTAGCAAGTCGTAAGCGGCTCAGTTAGAACGTTTTGGTTTCCATATTAATGTTCCAAAGGCAACTAGATATACATCAAAAAATGAGTGAACTACAGGGATATGAGGAAAAGGGAGGTAAATGGAATTGAAAGGATCGCTCTTTAAAAGAGCCAGCAAAGACATGATGGACCAAATGGCTTTCTCATGAATTGCCAGGCATTGAGACCATATTCTTTTGTTTTTTTTTGGTTGAAAGTTTTCTTCAACATCATTTGCTCCCCAGTATTTCAGCAAAATGAATCTTGGGCCGTTTATACTTACTGTAGTGAAGGAGGATATCCTTTACATTAATCAGGCAAAAGGGATTCTAGTAACCTTGGGTAAGGTAAGGAACCCAGGCTCATTATAATGGACCGTCAATAAACTCTCTGACATTAATCCTGAAAAGCTTATTGTTTCAGATAGATTCTTTATATCCCTTTACTTATTCAATGATTTTTAGATTCCAGGACATTTTTAAACTGGATTAAAGCACAGTATTTACAGAGCAGTATTACTCTATCCACATAGTTATGATATGTGTGTTTGTATATCTATGCATTAAGGTATATCACTTGATCCATAAACCCTTTTTATTATTGTCTTCTATTAATTTCATCCATCTGCTTTATATAAAGTCAGAAAAAACGTTGAAGAACTCGATTTAAATAGATGCACAGTTTTTAATGGAATTTTTCTTAAACAGATGTTTTGCCTTTTATGCTTAGAAGCCTTCCGCCTTTCAGTATTTCTGGACTTTAGCTTAACAGTTTTCACCTGTAAAAACAGGGCCTTTGAGATTTACTCAACGGCAGTAAAGTACACGGATTAGCAGTGAGTAACATTAAAGCCAGAATTTAAGATCTGAAACAAAAATCCCATTTTGCCAATATATTTATGATCACTTATTCCTCAGAGCGGATGTAAACTAAAATAATGCAAACCCCTTAAATGCAGCATTGCAGTCGGATTGACCCCCATCAAAAAGGTTTGATTTTCTTTGAGAAGCATCACAACATTAATAATGAAGCACAGACATGTCCCAGTACGGACACCTGGGACCTTACTGTCACTGAAGCAAAATAATGCCAAATAATAGTCATAATATCGTGTGATATAGCCCTTAGCACGTCGTTAAGAAATGTCAAAGTGCTTCACAGGATATACTGTAAAGTGGATGGACTGTGTATCTCGTGGATGAAACGTGCAGCCAGTTGGGCGCAGCAATGTCCCACAAACAGTTGTGAAGTGAGTAACCAATTTGATTTGGAGCAAATCCCTTCTCTTTTCAAATAGCGCCATAAGATCTTTAAAGTCCAGGACCTCAGTTTAAACATTTCATCCGAATGATGCCTTCAGGAGTAGCTGGGACTGTGCAGATTTGTTTTGAAAGGAACTGAACAGCTAAGACTCAAATACTATTCAATCCATTGTATAGTAAATGAATTGAGTTTGTTACAGAATTGATACGATTGCTCAGCAATCATCAGGGTGGGGTTAGTGTTGCTTCTTAAATAATAATTAAAGGAAGTTCCTCTCTTTTGGGATATACAGCTCAGTAACTGGTCAACCTGTTTGCTTCCATCTCCTATTTAAAGCTGCGTGTTTAGGAACAAAACAAATAAAATTCTCTGGAACTCCATCCCGGGAGCCTCTCTGATTTCCCCCCCACCGCCCACCTCTTTCAAGATCAGTCAACACGTACCTTTTTAACTGCGCCTTCAGTCATCTTTCTCCTCCCCGCACCAACCCCTCGCCCCCCCCCCCCCCCACCCTGTCCATCTCCAGCTTGAGTGCAAATCAGGACTGTTAAGCACCTTGGGACATCCTCCCAACATGAAAGGCACGATATCAATAGAAATTTGTATTGTATAATGAGTGCCAACAACAAGGTTGCCCTTTAAAATTTTTCTTTGAAAAGAAAAAAATGTGAACATGTCAATGTTTGCAGACTCCACTGCTGAGCCTTTGTTTTCTATGTGGGTCAACAATTTCATCTGGTATTGGAAGGAATTCTTTAAAGATCCCAGAATAGGAACAGCGGAGTAAATCACAGCATTCCAACCATAACAGCCTATTAAGATGGAAGATAATCTGATCTCCAAGATGTAGTAAATGGGACTTTCATCTTTGACAGCCTCAATGACAAGCATCCAAACAAATCCCCCACTTTAATGGTAATCCATCTGATTTTTCTACATGCGTCACATCTTGAAGTTGTCCCTCAAATGGCGGGGATTATTATCTTTCGAATGCCATGATTTGTATCACTTGCTATTTTTACTTTCAACTTGAGGTTGACGTAGCGCCTCATCATGTTCAAACGTCTCAAGGAGCTTCACAGTGACTGCCATCCGGTGTAGTGACTGTGTACCTGTAGGCGATTTGCTCTCAATATGGGTTAGTAAGGGTAAGGTATGTTGGCGGTTGGGTTAGAATAAATGGCATTTAAATCAGATTGAAAAACTAAACCCAGTACAATACTTTGAGGTGCACCAAAGCAGTAACAACTGAACAGGTAGCCAGGAATGGTGGGTGAAGCCAGAATACTCGACTCATTTTAAAAAGCAGCTTATTGCTGTGATGGGGGGACAGTATGGTGGGTTTTTAGATGGACTAAAGGGCCTTCTTCATCCAAATTAATCTTGTGATCTTATGAACTCAGAGCATCCAAATTTAGAGACATTAGAATGAGGCAACTGATTGTTGGTAAAGTTAATAGTTTTTAATAATAATAATAATCCTTGCCTTTGATATAGTGCCTTATCACATCGTTGAGACGTCTCGAAACACTTCACAGAATATACTGTAAAGTGAATTGACTGAATAATTTGTGCGCGAAACATGGCAGCCAATGGCGCACAGCAGTCGTGGATTGAGTGACCAAATTATTATTTATTTTTTGAAGAGATTATTACCCCCGGAAAGCGATCCGCCAATCGACTAACAGCCGGGTTCCTACTTACTGCTATGTAAACAGAGACGTGTGAAATAAGGTACTTAAATGCTTGGCTTTGTGGCAAAGTAATAGGGGAGGAGGGGAGGGTGAGGGGGTGGGGGGGTAGAGGTGACTGAAAGCAGATAACGCATTGCCTGAGCAGCTCGATTTATAATGTTGATTTTGTGATACTTTGTCTAATTCTACATGCAATATACAAGCAGTACATTAATTAAGGACTGGAACAGGTTGCGGTTGAGGCAAGTTCACTGGATTCGCTTGCTCCTCAAAAAGAAAAGAAGAGAGTTTCTCCTGGTGTCCTGGCCAACAATCCCCCTGATCAAATCACTGCGCGACCATTTGTGGGACATTGCTGTTCACAAATTGGCTTGCCGCTTTCCACTATCAAACACACATCCCTCTGAAGCGCTTTGAGGTACCATCCTGTTGTGAAGACACTAAATCAAATACAAGGATTCTGCTTATTACTATTATTTACAACAATGTTCAACTCAAACATGATTTCCCCCCTCCCCCTACACCCACACTTCTTTCTCCTTTATTACTTACAGCTCTTCCAGGAAGTGGAGATTTCCAAACGCATTGGGCTTCAACTCATTGATATTGTTCATGCTCAGATCACTGCAGAGAGGAGAGGGGGAAGAAACACAAGGAAATGATTAATGCAAAATCCTCTCTGGAATAAAAGGAAACCGACATTCAGAGACGGTAATATTCCCTTGCCCTTACTAAGTTTCGGTCTCACCAGTCAGTGCAGTTTTGAGATTTGCGTGGGATGTGAAACAGTAGCAATACCGAATAAATTTGACAAGAAGGAGGCTTGGGAACATGTAGGATTCTGAGCCAAGTTAGTTGGTGTGAGATTATTCTTGTTCCTTCTATTGAAAGTGAACGGAACAGCGGCCCAACATAAATATAATAAATGTGATAAGATTCCTTCTTTATCGCTCCCCGATCACTCCAGTCCTTGCCAGACTGCACTGGCTCCCTATCCCAGAGAGGATCGATTTCAAGATCCTCACCCTCGTATTCAAGTCCCTGCACTCCTCTGCAACCCCAGACCTCTCTGACCTCCTCTCTCCTCAGCACAGTACCCGTTGCCTTCGTTCCTCCGGGTCTGGCTTCCTCCTTGTCCCCCGAGTCCTCCGCTCCACCCTCGGCGGCCGTGCCTTCAGCCACTATGCCCCAAGGCTCTGGAACTGCCTTCCTCACTCCCTTCATCTCGCTCTCTCCCTTCCCATTTTCAGTTCTCTGCCGAAGACCTTTTTTTTCGACCGCACCTTTGGTCACCTTCCCCCCCCTCCCCCTGGCTCAGTCTCGGGATCCGAAACTGTAAAGCCCTCAGAGACGCCGTCCGGCGTGGAGGGCGCTATGTAAATCCAAGTTGTTGTTATTTAAGATCCCGTCTGCCTGTTCAGGTGGACTTTAAAGATTTAAAGATCCCGTGACACTATTCAAAAAGAGAAAGGAGTTTCTCTTTAACCCGGTGTCCTTTCCAACAAATCCTCTGAATAAAATTGGTCCCTCACTTCATGACTGTTTGTGAGGCATTGCTGAGCGCAGGCCGGCTGCCATGTTTCCCCCACAAAATGCAGAGTTACCCCAATTTACAGTATATCTTGTGAAGCGCTTTGAGACATCTCAACGATGTAATAAGGCACTATATTAAATGCAAAGATTATTATCATTATTACTAGCAGTATTACTATTAGTATTGCTATCAGCATTACAACAACAACAACAAGATTCCATTTATAGAGCGCCTTTCGCGTCGGGAGGACGTCCCAAGGCGCTGTAGTATTATTATTTGTAGTATTATTATCATTAGTATTATTAGTATTATTCCTTCCCCACTCTGCGGTTTTCTCTCCTTACTGGTCCTGATAGTGAGAGACCAGTGAATATGGTTTGCTCACGGGATGCCATGATTGCTGCTCTTTACTGGTCAATTTCAAGGCATTGAAAGCAAGTGCCTAAAAGACTCCTCAGGTCTTTCAGCCCGTGGCCTGCACTGTGCCTCCGACCAGCGTTTGCAAATGAAATTCAAAACATGGGGAGATCGAGGAATCACACCATCTCAGAACAGAATAGGTATTTATTTAACTGAGGGGAATTCTCTTATTCGTAATTGACAAAGACTTCTTTTCTGAGAGAGAATATCTGTTTCTCATTCACACAAAGCTGGTTAATGTTGAAGACACGAGTCTCCTGTTAGTCTGGAAGTGTGCCTGAAATTACAAGCGACCATTTAGGGTTTAGTTCCACCACAGCAACAACTCCACCACTTAAGTACAACACACCAGATGCCCAAAGTACATCACCAGAAATAACAGTAATAATCCTTGAGTTTGATACAGCATCACTTCACCAAGACATCTCAAAGCGCTTTGCAGGATTTATTGTAAAGTGTTTTGATTGTAGTTTATAGGCAAACACAGCAGACAATTTGCCTTCAGCAATGTCCCACAAACAGACACGTAGTGAACGACCAATTTTTCCTGGGGAATTGTTGGCCAGGCTAATGGGAGGCTTCTGCCTTCTCTTTTTGAACAATGCCATGGGATCTTTAACAACCTGGACAGGAAGATGAGACCTTGGTTGAATGTCTCATCTGAAGTACCTGTCAGCATCTCTGACAATGCAGAAAGCCTTTAGTACTGTACCAGAGCCTAGACCGTGAGTTCAAAGTCCTGATGTGGGGCTTGATCCCCAGCCTTTTGACTCAGAGGCGAGAATGTTACCAACTGAGCCAGGCTGAGCTGACGTGGCAAGTTGGTCCTGCTAGAATGAAGGCCTCTCGGGGCAGCAAAACACACGCCTGGTTACGAACGGGAATCACGATTGCGAGTTGCAGTTGGTGTTTAGGAATCCAGGTAGCAAATTCCAAAATCTGAGATCAGTAATCCCTCAGCCACTGAGAAGGTAAAAGAATGCCTCTCTTCCAGAGGTCAACAATTCATTCAAAATAACAATAATAATAATAAATTGGTCACTCAATCCACTAATGTACGCAAATGGCTGCTGTGTTTCGCCCACAAATTATTCAGTCAATTCATTTTACAGTATATTCTGCGAAGCGCTTTGAGATGTCTCAAAGGCATGATAAGACACTATATTAAATGCAAGGATTATTATGATTATTAGAATTGTTCAGTGGATCGCTCCAATGAACCAGTCCTGGACTGAAAACCTTGCCAAAGATCTGGGGTATCTCCCAATGGGGACAGATAGACAGAATACCAATGTGAGTTTCAGACAAAATGAACTGATGGGCTTTAGTTCATAACTATTGCCGTTAAAGCCATTCAACACTATTATTAGTGATTGCCAGTTAAAGGGAAAGAGATATATATCAAATGGAATGTGTAGCTTTTCATGCAGAATCTATACGGAGTTCCTATTTATTCAAGACGAGGATTAAGCTTGAACTTTGAGGAAGATGTACTGTGTACTGCTTTCAATTTCACAGAGGATCACAATAGAATCGTCAAGGTTACAATTTGTGAGATGAATACTCTCCTGATGTTTCACAGTAATCTGTTGTATATTTAACCTAATCCCCAATTTCCCTAGAAAAAACATCAACTTTTGCTATCGAGGGGTATGAGAGATGTCAATTCAAAGAAGATCGTTCAGTGATTACGTCTGAAGGACGCACATTTTGTTTATTTTTTTTGTGCGATTACAAACTTCCAAAACATCTTGCCATAATCGTTTCTGTTGCACAACCATGTGGGAATAGTGCATTAGGGACCATCAAGGGTCGTGTCACCATCGGAACATAATCCTGACAGCCGTTGCTCAACACACATTGAAGCTGATCTGAAATCATCATTTGTTTGTAAACAAACAACTTATTTGTGTGCTTATCGTTGAAGAAATGTTAGGCTGCGACATTCATACCATGTGCGGCTTTGAGTGTGCAACCTTCCAAAAGGCTGTTTAAGCATTGGAGAGAGTGTAGAGAAGAGCATTATGGATAACTCAGGGAATTGGATGAAGGAGGAGACATGATCCAGGTCTTTAAAATCCCAAGGCCACAGCTGATAATATAATAATAATCCTTGCATTTGATAGAGCGCTTTTCATGTCTTCTAGACGTCTCAAAGCGCTTCACAGAATATGCTGTAAAGTGAATTGACTGTACATTTGTGGGGGAACGCGGCAGCCAATTGGGCACAGCAGTGTCCTACAAACAGTCGTGGATTGAAAATGACCAATTTATTATTGTTTTTGGTTTTGGAGGGATTATTATTAGGCTCTGTGTGGAGTAAGGAAACTTGCCCAAGGTTTCGCCCCCTGCCTGGAATTGAACCCAGGTGTCTCACTTGCAAGGTGAGTGCTCTAACCACTGAGCTACAGGACTCAATGTAGATACAAGCGGTGGGTATATGTTTAATTAAAAAGACTCCAGGGAGGTTAAGAATTCAAAGAATTATTTTTGCTCGAAGATTAGTAGGATGTTGAATAAACTCCCAACAAAACCAATTGACACTGTGTCGATCCACCAATCGACTAACAACCGGGTTCTTACTTACCGCTGGGTAATCGGAGGCATGTAGAGTAAGGAAACTTGCCCAATGTTTGACCCAGCTTGGGAACTGAACCCAGATCCTCAACTCTTGCGAAGAGAGTACTCTAACCAATATGCTACAGGACTCCACAATTTCACTCCAAGAGCTTACTTCATTACAGAAATTGCAGATGTCTATAAAATGCACTGCATTTTTAGAGTACAGTAAATCCTGCGTCGCATTTTGAGATATCCTCCCATTGTGAAAGACACCATATCAAAAGCAAGATTGATTATCATTGTCATACTTAAATAAACTTTTTTTAAAAAAATTGATGCATGCTTATTATCTTTTTCAAAGGAAATACAATTAGAAACAAAAAGCTAAGAAAACATTAAGTAATGTTAAGTATGTTGCTTAATGTGAAGAAGTCAGTATTTTGGACGTATATTTTCTTCTAATGAGTTTTGTAAATTATCAAAAAAAAGTCATATTCCCTTTCCTGAAACGAGGGACAGGATAATTATTTTTAATTACTGCATTTCCCTTAATTTAGATGAAACGGGAGTGGAAGTATTCTTTGGCGCTTTCCCATAGCTATTTACCAGGAAAAATATTCCTGATGGGATGATAATTGGAGTTAGACGACGCAAAAAAATGTGACCCCTTTTTGGATTCTGCAGACCTTCAAACTCAAAGGAATGTTAATATTGTCGAAAAGAAAAATCAATGGGACCACCAAGCCTGCTCTTGTGTGTCGCTGTCTATTTGAGGAATTATTTCAGGAAAAACAATTTGCACCAGATAAACATTCCCCTTTATAGTGACAGTATTTATCCACACATCACTCCGCCTGTGTAATTTTAGGCATGTAGGATCCGACACTGTAAACGTAAAGTGACGAAATATTATGATTGTTTATGAGATACAGTAAGAGCACACTTTATATAATGAATACCAAAAATGCAGAGAAGTAACAAGACCCTTTGACAGAGACATCTGTCAGCTGGGAAACTTCATAATAAAGAAACCCACAGACAGATCATTTTCAAAAATAAACAAGATTTAGAGGTTAATTATGTGATGATTTCTGATGCAATTTCATAA